CCTAACGGGGTTGCTTTACGTGGCTGGATCTGGTATTGTATTAGGTAATGCAATTACTAATATGTAACTTTTTTTTTTCTGGCAGGTTCGAGTTTTTTTCGCAAGCTCAAAAAATGATATATAGTAAATCAATATATTTTGAAACTGTTAACTAACTATATCTGGCTTTGAGCAAGTATTGCAAGAAGGTGGGATCTATAGAATAAGCGCTAGTAAGGTAAGTTACCAATAATGTCATTTTTTGCTCATATATTTTTTACTTGATTTACTTGCCGAATTTTTTAAGTAATTTGCTACATTTTAGCTAATATAATTTCATTTAACGGAGACTATGAGATGATTTTTTACTTACTATGTTTTTGGTATTTAGGAATGAAAAAATGAGCACTAACGATAACACCACCTCCAAGACTAATGAACCCAATACTAAGACTAATGAATATATTTATCTTAATTGTCTCATCACGCTCTGCTTACAATATCATTTTTTTAAAATCAAAGTTTCTAATAGAAGTGATGTTGAATCATTAGAAACTCAAGTTCAAGCCCGTTTGTCCCCCTTACCATCTGGTGCAACTAGCACACCTCACTGATTTCTTATATTTCGCCCCAAGGAGGATATGTGAATATGCATCCTCATACTAATCTTTATACTCTTTTCAGTAATAATCCTGATCAAAATATTATTCATGTACTTGTAGAACAATTACCAGGATCAGAAACACAAATTATTTAGATTTTTTTTTATTTGTATTCACACTTATAATAGCGATATATATTTTTTATGTGTATATTGTCATTTCGGCAAAAAAATATTAAATAAAGAAGGGGTCCGCTGGGCTTCTAATCATCTTTTATTTTTACGTGATCGTGTAAATAAGTATTGGTCACTATTTATACTGTTATTTCGATGTTTAGATACAAAAGCATCCTCTTTTCAAGAGACAAATATCAAACTCATGTTACACTAAAATAAAAATTTTATTATTTGTGCTTGAATAGATGTGATATCCGTTGTCACAGTGACGCAATATGACAACTCTATTTTATTGATTAAGGTGTGACATCAATGTCACAGTCAATTGTATAAATTATTAGGCCTGGGATAAATTTAAAATTGTTGTATATCTGAAAATTAGGAACTGGATTATGTATACATCTTAGGTGGTTACTGGTGAGATAATAGGACTCATCATTGGTGAGCTTTTTCTTTCGTATCTTCCATCATGATAATAATAGCCTCTATCACATCCACCATATTCATCATATCTATCATACCCATTATATCTATCATCATCTGATTCATCTAGCCTCTCTTCTTCAGAATCATTGTCGTGGCTACAATCACTATCATCAACTATCTAAACTTCATTAGACCCTTTCTCTGACTGAGATGTGGGATCATCAAAACATGCCTCATCATCATAATATACCTCATCATAGTCATCATGATTCTCTACCTTAGCTAGAGCGATTTGAGGTGTGAATGATGAATTACCTAAAGAATTAGAGCCATGTATAATAGGAATAGGTGCGATTAATTCGCTTACCTTAGCTGAATTTTGGCAGGAACCCTTGGCTGAAATTTCAGGAGTTGGTGACTCGTCTTCTTGCTTGGGGAAACTATCTATGATTTCTTTAATTTTGTTATTAGTTAACTCTGAAATAGAATTCGCACTATAAGTTGTGATATATTTAATTTTATCTATACCTAAATTTTCAAATAATTTGTATATTTTTACGGCTTTCTGAGTTTTCCCTTGCAAGTATTTACGTGTGATTTCTGGGAGTTGTAAACCTGTTTCTTCAGATCTCTTTTTACGGAGAATAGAAAGATCCTCTAACATTTTATCATAGATAATTCCTTTCGCTTTTTTCTCACCAATTTTGTTACCTTTGGTAACTTCATTAACTTGAGTTATAAATTTTTTTCCATAGTAGCACCAGCACAATATTTCTTCCTGATTCGTATGAATTGTACCATATTCAGCATCAGTCGCTTTATCAAATAATTGAGCTAAAGTAAGCAGTGGTACTGTAGAAGAAATTTGGCTTTGTTGTGATAATATATTATTAGAAGAACTAAGAATACATTTTTGAGACTATGCATCATTTTGAATACCATCAGATATTATTTGAGAAATATTTTTCGCACCTTTTTTCCTATGACTATTTTTCAGCAGGGGCACCCTGGCCGAAATTTCAGTCATGGGATTTGATACCTCTGGTATCTTTTCAGAAGTAGAGCACTCAGTATCAGATTCTTGATCTTGGTTAAGAGATGCTTGCTCTGCTTTGCTAAGTTTCTTCTCTTTATTGCGTCTCCTTATCCAATCACTAATGCTTTTCTTATGTGCATCATCCAAGAAAGTGTCCATTTCCCTGTTCTCCAATGTCTTTTGATCACTCACACAATATAGTAGAAAAGTGACCTGAATGCTCCCCTCATTGTTATCCCTTAGTTTCACTACTTTGGCCTTAAGCTTGGCAATTACATCATGCCTAATATTCTCGGCTGAAGAATCTGCCTTATTTTTCTCCAACTCCTCAATTCTAGCCTTGAGTTCAGCATTCTCCTTTCTAAGTTCATCAATTTGAAGAATATTTCTTTTGCTCATTTGGATTATCCTCAAGATATTTATAACTTACCTTCTATTTATAATTTCCAATAGGCAAATACTAACTCATAGCCCAGCCGTAAAGAATATTTGCATCAACATAGATTATCCATATTGTGGGTTTAGATAGATCAAATGTCTTGCCTATTTTTGGATTATTGGCCTTGAAATAGCATTTACAGACTATAGCTATACCTCTACGCTTAGCTTTTTCTATAAAATCATGTATAGACATATCTGTAAAGAGCTCAATTTTAACATCTGTTATCTTAAGCAAAGCATTCCAAGCTAATGCAGGTGCTAAAACATAATGACTAGGATCAAGCTCATAATACTGCATACATGTCATTCGAAATTGGGTCCAAATATCTGCCAAGCTA